GTGGCTCTGTACTTGGTGGTCGTTTAGTTATTTGTAGGAAGTATGACTTCCTAGGACAGTTCCAATGGCCATGAATGTTTATATCTTAATAAATGTCAGGGTTCGTTTGGTTGGACATCAGAATTTCTAATTCCCATGAGAATTTCCACCTACCTAGGGGACTAGGCAAGTTAACACTTCCATTTTGTGGGAAATAGGAATCCCCAAGAAGTCTCAGTGTCTTACTCAGTCACTCCTATGTTATTGCCTACCAAACAAGTTCACATACACCTAATTCATTGGAAAATCAAATCCCCATGTAAATAAATTTAACCAAGCAACCACATAGTATGGTTTACCTCTCTACAATGACCTTCCTTGCGTAAACATGAGAAAAGCTGTGATTTTTGGTCATTAGGATCTTCTATATATTTGTATCTAGGAACAACCACTGTTATGTGCCTTTGTGATTGTACAGGCTTTGAACCATTGTTGATTGGGTTTTGATATGTGATAAATAAGAGGTTTTTTTTTTTAAAAAAATTTTTTTTTTTTTATTATTATTTTTATTTTAACTTTTGACATTAAGGTTTCTTATTAATTTTCCAGGTTATCTTGAGCTTCTGCTTTTGCGATTTCCCTGTTTTTTCTTGTGCAGTTTCTTTGTCCTTGGTGTTGAGTTCATAAAACCTTTAAAGTGTTTTTATATGGACAAAAATAACTGAGAATTTAGATATATTAGTATCTCTTTAAAGAATTATTTCTTTTCCATTATGCAACCAGAACTTGAGTATATCAAATACGTACTGTTCTTGTTCCTCAAAAAAAAATAATACGTACTGTTCTACTGATATACTTGCCCCCCAAAGAAACACCGATTTCATAAGGTTATTTTTTAGTAGCCGCCCATGGCTGTTAATTTTATAGCAAATTTCATGCTATTCTCTGTAGGCCTGTAGGGTAGAAGTATTAATGTGCCTAATCTGGCAGATCTAGCTGTAGTCTCTGAAATTCTGAATGGCAAAGTGTGACTAAGGTTGACTTCACTTGCTTCAGTATATAGACTCGGCTTTATGTTAGATTCATCCGGCTGCTTGTCTAACCTCGTTGACTATACTTTCAGGTTTTCTTTGTGTAATTAGCAAATTTTGGCTGCTCATAATGAATGCAAAAAATATAGTCTCCTTGAATTATGGTTCAATTTCCACAGGAAAAGGAGGCAGCTAAATCTTCTGATGAATGGTGCAAGGCTACCCTGAAGAAACTAAAAGAAGCCTCTCCATTGAGCTTGAAAGTCACTCTACGATCTGTAAGCTCTTGTAACATCTCTAGCTGGGCTCCCCTCAACGATCTTTACTTCTTATGGCTCTTATTTGTTGCCTTTTTTTTTTTTTAATTATTATTATTATAATCAAATTCAGATCCGTGATGGGAGATTTCAACCTATCGACAAATGTCTAGCTCGGGAATACAGAACAACTGTGAATTGCATATCCAAGAGAGTTTCCAATGACTTCTGTGAGGTATATGTTGTTAAATTACCTCTATTATCGTAAGCAGGTTTTGAAATACCGAAATTTCTGAAATTTCTCCGATTTTGTTTCTTTCAAACAGGGTGTTAGGGCACGCTTAGTTGACAAAGACTTTGCTCCTAAAGTAAGCCTTCCTAAATCAATGCTTCTGAATGTTTTTTCTTAGTAGTGTTTGTACTTAATGTTAAACATCCTGTCCCATTTCTTATAACCAATATATTATATTCTGCAGTGGGATCCTCCTACTCTTGAAGACGTAAGCAAGGATATGGTGGATTGCTTTTTCTCACCACTCGGAGAATACGAGCCTGAGCTTAACCTACCTACATCACTGCGAGAACCAGATATGTGATAGCCGATGTCTTCTGTAGTCCAGTGTGGAGTTTTGTAGCATTGATATTTACTTTTAGGATATTGAGTCCTTAGATTTTTTTTTTTTCTTTTCTTTTCTTTCTTGTATAACAAATTACTTTAGTAGCCTGAAGAAGAGATGATTGACTGTTCTGAAGCAGTTGGATTTGTCTCGGGTGAGGCTGAGAATATCAGAAATTGTTCAAATTGATGTCTTGTTTATCAAAATCCTTATCAAGATCAATAATTATCACTTTCTGGTTTATTTATTTCCCAACTCCTTTCTTTTTCGCCTGATTTTCGTGTGTGCGTGTATGATTCAGGAAATTACGAGATAAAATTATAAAATACGAGTTTCCGTCTTATACGGATAATAAATTTCCAAATATGTTCAAAGAAGACTGATAGAAATTACTCACAGTTTATGCTACAAGATGGAAATCAATTTCTGGAGCACACTTGCAGTTGCAGGCTTCACAAACCAGCCCAGTTGGGAACACCATGTTATAACTTTTAATGTATTCCCTTTAATATCCAAATAGTTGAAGCAGAGATATTATAGTTGGAGATTGGTGGAAACAATGTATAACTATATTTTTTTGGGTGAGGTTTTAATAGAACTAGTATGTAGCTTAGATGTTGTACCGGATTTCTACTTTGAAACATATTGTTGTAAAAAAGAGGATTTAACTCTCCATTGTGTTGGAATTGTTGAGGCTATTTCTCTTTATACATGATTTTTTAAACCATTAACAATGACATAAAATAATTAGTGCAATATGTTAGTTGCGACGTGATACAATGCTATTGCTAATTATATAATGACGTGACACAATGCTAAATTATTGCACATAAACTTTTTTTTAAAAAAAAAAATAGACCGCTTGAGGGGGTCTATATACTTGTTTGTTTTTAGGAATAATACTAAGAATAATAAATATAAATTCTATTTTCATTACAATAACCCCTATGCAACCTAACGTAACTAGGTTAATTACAATATTCTTGAACCCTAACTAAAATTCACTAATCAAACTAACTAAACAACATTCATCAATTTATAAAAGAAATCAACTTCCCGAACACATTTACAAGTTTCACAAACCATATTATCTTCACCATCCTCATGATAATAATCACTCTTATCCCAATTACTCATGTTCTTCTCATGTTCAATTCGCATGGCACACGAAATCTTTGGCTTGTTTTCGGCAATAAGCTTATTATTCATCCAACTCGAATACATCATATCACGTAAATTCTTCCTGCACTCAACGAGTCCTTTCACCCCGATTAACTTACCGGTGTTCATCAACAATTCAACTCCCTTTTTTATGCATTCTTCTTCTCCACTACATAGATATATAAGCCCTAACACGTAAGCCGCCTCTTTGTTATTTAGTTCGGCTGCTTTTCCAATATTTTTTATCCCTTCTTCTTGCAAGATATGAGTGAAGTATTGTTCCTACAAAAACATACCAAAAAATTACAATATTTAAATTTTAGTACTGCTCCGATTTTTTTTAGTTGCAACTTTGGGAAATTATTCGTGATATATAAAATATTCCGAAGTTGCATGCAATTAAAAAAAACGGAGGTAGTATAGGTTTTTTTTTTTTTTTTTTTTGGCATAATATAAAGTTATGAATAGTAAAGAATTATTACAAATCCAAGACAAAGAAGGGCTTCAGGGTTGTTGCTCTCAAAGCATCTCATAAAGAAGGTGCTCGCCTTTTCACTAAACCATACACGTCTCCAAATTGTTCCTAGGGAAACTTGTTGTAGGACTTCCTTCTCATCCGATATCTTATGAAGGCTCTTGCAACTTTTACCATTCAAATAATAACACAATGTTAATTAATTAGTATGCTAATTGACATAATTAGTTAAGACATTGCATAAATATATGATACAAACCTTAGTTTGCAACGAAATAAATCAACCGGGGAGGAGGCGGCGACACGTGCAAGTACTTCGGAGATCATCTCGGGAGGGAGGCAGTCCATGGAAGTTGATGATGATTGAGTTTTAGCAACATGCATGATTTTCTTTCTTTTATTTTTTGATGATTTTCTTGTTTTCTTTGTTTTTGTTTGTTTAGCCTTTAGAATATTCATGGTTGATGAATTATTATTAGCCATCATACCTTTTTTTATATGTATAATTAAATTCTCTTCTATAATTCTCTCATTAATTTGTTGTGAGTTGGATTCTTCAATTTTTGGCATGCAATTTGAAGGCTAGAGTACTACTATATAAAAAGCATGTATATATATGATTAATATGAATGTCAAATAAAAATATAAGCTAATAAGAAATTAAGTACATGTTGATTAGGAATTCTAAAGCTTGTTAGATGGTTCTAGTTGTTTTACTTGGAATAGGTTTTATTCACCAATCCTCGTACTTAAGAGTACAAGTACAATAAGGAAACTTTATCAGAAGATTAAAAAATAAAATAAAAGGTACAATAAGAAACTTGCCTAAAAAAACCTTGCCTAAATAAATAACAATAGCATATTGTGAGATAGTTAAACGCCCATATTTTAGACATGCTTCGTATCATCCATGCCATATTTTTTTTTCTTAATTAAACTAATTCAAAAAAAAAAAAAAAAAAACATTGAATGAATAAACTTTTTTTTCTTAATTAAACTAGATTTTCTATTAATCTTGAACACATAAAAAATCCTAAACTTCTCTCAAAAAAAAAAAAAAAAATCCTAAACTTAATTCACTATTCAACCATTAATACTGAACTGATATTGTAATAAATCCGAAAAAGCATATAAAAAAAATTGTTTTAATTTTTTTTAATTAATACAGTATATATGGTCAATATAATGCATGCAAACAGTAGAGTACAAAAAGTAAAAATAAAGCTTGTATTTGAATACGGAGGCTGTTATACTTTTTATTGTTAAAAAAAAAAAAAAAAACACTCAAAATTTGCCCTGTAAATAAACACATTAAGACTTTCCAAACCCTAATTCAACACGGTTAATAAATTTTTTTAAAAAAAATAAAAAATAAAAGGAAGAAAACTTAGTAACTCTCTATTAAGAAATTAAAAAAAAAAAAAAAAAAAAAAAAAACAGAGTTTCCTATTCAGAATTCCCTCTATCCTAGTAGAATGAGTTCAAACATTGTAACAATACTATCGAATTCGTAACTCAATACCAGATGTATAGATAGTCCAATACAGAAGTTACAACTTGTAAATGAACCAAACTATATACAACAATGTTAACAATGTCAGAATTTTCGCAGCAGCCAATCTTCGCAGTTTGCACTAACAATTCTCAGCATGATTTAAGTTCAATTCCAATGCTCAGCAGCGTTCGAGCAGACTCTAATACTTTATCTGCACCAGCTTCCGAAGCCTTCTCTTCTCCAAGGTCACTATCCATATCTTTGGGCCGCTCTTCAACAGCTCCAGGGGGTTGAGATTTAATGTCTGTTTTGTCCAACTGCTCTTCAGAGGATCCTTGGGATTGAGATTTAATTTCTGTTTTGTCTAATCGCTCTTCAGATGATCCACGAGATTGAGGTTTGATTTCTGTTTTATGTAACAGCATGTTTGCACCAGAAGCCATAGCATTAGCTGAGGCAACATAATATTGCCTCTTGGGAATAGGAACATCATGGTCATGTTGGCCTTCATAAGTTACTACGATTGCTGTTGAGTTGTCAGTAGCCCTCTCAACATGCTTGCGGACAGGACAGCCAGCAGATGAGCACCTATAATAGCTCCTGAAATGCGTTCCAATGTGGTAACATCAGAGACAGAAGTAAACATAATTAGTACTTTGTGAAAGAAACATATCTTCCTCGATTAATAACTAAGCTTCAAGGCCTTCAACCACTTTGGTTTAATAATATCCACAGAAGCTAATAAGTTTCAGACTTTAGTGTTCATATAGATGATACACAAAGAACAAAGGGAAAAGGCAAATATGTCAAAACAATCTTCTATGGAAAAGTTCTTCAGATATTACTATCCATGGGGCACTAATAGTTGAAAACACAGTAACAAAGGACATAGGACACCTTTTAAAAAAGGAGGAAAAAACGTTGTTTATAATTATAGGTTAAATATAATTATTAGTGTATAAACTCCTCAAGTCTAGCATCAAAAATTCAAATTTATAGCTAAAAAAGATCATTAAAATGATCAAATATGTGTTGAGTCAAGGTCTATGAGAAGAACTATCAAGTAAAATCCAGTATCCTATAGGATAATTCTCTATATCAAAGTTTTAGGGAGTTTCCATAAATGTCTAAGAAATTAGAAAATGTAATCATGCAATTAGCCAATACTCGTAGCAGGCAACAAATATAACAGATAAATCTGATGTTTAATCTTGATATCCTATAGCACTGTTTGATGATTTAATCTCTCAAGATTTCATTTCTTTTACAAAATTTAAGAATTGTTAATAAGTTTGTCACTTCTCAATGAACTCAGTCTTGTTGACAAGGAAGAAATACATCAAAGCTTTTGGGGACAATGTTTCAACATGTGGTATATTAGCTGGGATGTAAGGTAATAAAACAGAACAGCATACCTAGGATTTGGATTTCCTTTAACCATCTTTTGCCCATACTTGCGCCACCGGTACCCATCATTAAGCATTCCACCACCCTCAGCCTCATGCGTTACAATTTTAGGATCCTTGAAAGTCCGGTATACTGGTTCTGAGCATGCCTTACTCCTTTCTTTAATCCTGCACATTACATACAAGGTAACATTGAGAATATACTTCTACAAAAAATTCCTCAGGTAATTATAAGAAAGCTTAAATTAACAGAATACCTTCGTTTCTTCAATGGGGCAACATCAAGCACTTTCATGGGATCAATCATAACATGTTCACTAGGAGTTTCAGATCTCAATCCACTATGATCTTCTACTACTGGCACTATTGCAAGTTCACACTTAGGTCTGATCAGGTCAAGCAAATAGACATAATACAGAACTTGTCAGTAACAGGAAAAAACATCAATGTATACAAGTATCGCATGAATTTTGATCACATAGACACATGGGCGTGCAGACATACACACATATACGCCAATTTACACAGAAAGCACGATACTTAAACCAGATATTCATAATTAAACCACCTACATGTTAGTTTCCTCTCAACATTATACCAACTATCTATACTTTCTCATTGAGAAAACGAAGATTGCCCCAGTTTGTAAGGCTTAATAATCTATAAGGGATTTTTTGCCATATTGAAAGAGTTTTTTTTTTTTTGGAGGGGGGGATCGGTGGTTGAAGATAGAATTAATATAACAAATGAGTGGTTAAATTAAGATTGAGAAAAAGAAGTGAGTTTTTGAAAGGCATAAAGAAAGAGGGTTCCTAGACAAATTTCTCAAAAAAATAGCAATTCCATAAAAAAAATAGCAATTCCATAATAAGATAAAACTTGCCTTGGGGTAATATCAACTGTCTCAATGTGCTTCTCCTCAGCATCTCTTGATGGTGTTTCAGCTGCACATTTCAGGTTGCTATCCAGACATTCATGACTCGAAGGTACTAATTGTTTAAGTTCTTGCTCACATGCAAGCGAATTAGGAGAATCGAGACTTTGTATACTATATTTGTTCAAAGCAAGAGGTGCATAATCCTTCTTACGGCTGGAACCCTTAAGATTTTGAGGAGGTTTATGATTATGTTCACCTTTATAAACAACATCAATTATTTTTCCAGATACGTCCAAATGCTGAACCTTCTTTTTGGCACAGCAAGATAGATCAGTGCATCGGTAATAGCTTCTAGAACTTCCAGAACTTTTCACCTGCTTCTGGCCATACTTCCTCCAGCTATAACCATCTGATATAGGTGTCTTTGGAGTTTCATCTGGAGAATTATCTGCATTGCAGGAGGAGTTCATTATCTTTATCTCAGGCTCTTCAACTTTATCCTTTGGAAAAGATTTGATCAAAGGCTTTGTATCAGCAGCTTGAAGTTGCACCTCAGGATGAGCTTGAGCTGCTTTAGCAGTAATATTTGCCAAGGCTTCTTGATGAGACATCCCATATTGTCCCTATTATCCACAAAAGGAAGAATTCTGCTATTAATTACGAACCAATATATAAAAGTAGGATTATATTCAGGGCATACCACTATAAGGTCAAAAATAAGTCACTCAGCCATCATCACTATATAATGACTGCCGATTAATCATATGCCTGATGAGTTGCAGGGAGAAAACTAATAGCAGAGGTAAAAGCTAATGAAATCAAATTGTAAGCTTAAAATTCAATATTACTAAATGCACAGCAAGGCGTGCTACTGAAAAGTATATATTTTGAGCAAGTCACTATAGCAGATCCTATGCAACCACCAAATTAAAAGTACCATCTATCAATTGTATTATAGTATTTACATATCCAAATACAGGTTAGGATTTAGCAAGTCACATAGCATTAGACACCAAGACCTGGCACAATAAGCCTAGATGCAAGTATGTTATCGATCCTTACATTACCAGCCAATATCTAGTGTTTAGCTTTACTTAGGAATAATAATAATTGTGACATGAGAACTCCTAGCCCCCAAAATACACTGATGATTAGAGCATCCTTCTGCGGAACTTTTACTGCTACATATTTTCCTTGACTATTTTCAAGCATCAGGTGCATCACTCACCTTTCGAACACTATCAAATAGAATTAACAGTAATAACAATGAGTCAATGACATGCTTCTAAAGGGAACGGTCTATACTCCATGGCCAGTATACATATGCAATTGAATATCTTAAAGTCACAATCAACCAGAAGTCCAAATGCATAAAAGAATCGGCCATTTACAATACTATTTTTTTTTCATATTTGTGGTCAAAATCGAAGATCCTAAGTGTCCACACCAGCATAACATTATCAAACACAAGTACAATTCGAATCAATAGATGCATACAGCATTGTTCATGGCCCAAAACTCTCACACAATCGATAATAAAATCCCAAAACTCTCACACAATCGATAACAGGATAGAAATAAATAAGTCCAAGGTTCAAGCCAAAAGATACTAGTCTTACTACTAAAGCATAGTCACTTAAACTAAAACAACAAATTAAGTAATACTAATCTGATTTAGATATCACTATTTGTCTATTCCTACAATATATGTTACTGCAAGTCACAAACTGTGTTGAATACTCAAACACTCGGACATTGGTATGACACTCGGAAACTTCATCTTGTACCAAATCCATGCAACAATTTTCATAACTTGGTTGTAAAAACACTTGGACACATACCCGTATAGGACAATTCCAGCCAAGTCCAAGTAAATTAGCCTAAAATAGTAGTAAATATACATCTAACATATACATGTTCAAAGAGCAAATCTATCTAGACCCAATTTCTATAAATAAATCTTTAGGTAATAGGAAATTGTCATTAATAAAATGGCAAAACATCAACAATAACACAAACAATCAATAAACAAAAATTGAATTACCAAGTATAAATCAAAGCATGAACCCACAAAATTCATAAAGGTACAAATTATAATCATAACAATCTTTGACTATTAAACAAAAATTAAGATAAAATTACTAAACAAATAAAATTTAAAATAAATAAATAAATAAATGGGAGTTAGAGAATTTACCTGAAAGTCAGTGGTTTTGACTGGAGGGTCAGAAGAAATGGCAGAATTAGCCGCCATAACAACCCCTTCTAAAAGCTTAGAAAAACTAGGATAATTGGATTTATTTTTTGAAGAAGATGAAGATAAAGTTACAGAATTTGAATCAGATGAATTAATTTTGGTTTCAGAATTTAATTCTGGGTTAGTTTTTATCTGGGGTTTTGTTTCTGCCTCCATTGAAAAAAAAAAGCAGGGGAGAAATACAGGGGAAAGTGAGGAAATAAAGGGCAAAAAATACAGAGAAAAATTAAGAAAAAACAGAAAATGTGAAATTATGGAGAATAGTTTCGTGTTTGAAAAGAGAAATTAGTTTGTGGGATTTTTTTTTCTTGTTTAAAAAAACAAATATTGTTAGGAAATTGAGAGAGAGGGAACTGGAAAAAAGAGAGAGTGGGTTTTGTACTTTTGACTAGAGTTGACCAGGCGGTTGCTTTTGTGGGATGACATTGATTGAGGGAATACGTACACTACACAAATGTTGTGTGTCTACTCACTTGATAATTTTTTGTTTTGTAACCTATTTATTAATCTTCCTTGACCATATATTATCATTTACGACTTTACGTTAAGAAAATCACGGTTATTTTAGATCTTTAAAAGAATTGTTTCGTAATATAATTTCATCATACAGGTATTAACTTTTTTATAATTTTTACTTTTTTATAATTATAGATATTTAACATCATCATGTATAAAATGTATTTCCAGATACATAAAATGAAAATTTTGGGATGGCACTTATGCATATGTTGCTATCTTTATGGTAAGGACAATAATCTCGGTCAAACCTTAATTACCGTGGATTTTTGGTCAATATTTCATTTAAGCAAATACTTTTAATTGCATTCGGGTGTACTTAGATTTATTAGTGAGAGAGGGTATGTTTTGATCATTTTTTTTTTATATATATATAGTTATTGATAAAATAATCTTTATATTAGTATATATTATCAATTGCGCATATAATTATATCTTCCATTGTGTATAGCTCTACTTGCATCTTTATTGATGAATTCCATCCGTATACATATTAGAGATTCTGATATATCTTTTCTACTCATTGCATTTAAGTTTTTACTGTAAATTTTGTAGAGAATACTCTTGCTTTTGAATATTTTGTTTAGGGTATATTTTCAAAGATGATAATGTAGATATTGATCATATATCAAGAAAGATATTACATTAATTCCATTGTTCTTATTATTATCATAAGTACTCTTTTCGTCCCATAACACAAACACAATACACATATCATATTTCAAGATGTACAATTTGCCATCAATATCTTTAATTATGTATTATCAAAATTATAATAAATGTTGATATCATAACACTACATATTACTACTTTTTCAAAAAAAAAAAAAAAAAAAAACATATAAACATATTATTACGCCAAATGATAATCACATATCACAATACCTATACTTTTTTGTATATATTGTTCCCTCGTTTCTAATTGATTGAGTTCATGAAATTTAAGGGTCGTGGTGGATCTTATGAAATCCGTCTTATTTTTTTAGACATACTCCTATATAATTTATGTTTTAAATTTTAGACATAAAAGTAGTAATATGACAAATCAAAGACTTGGAATAATTTATGTCAATGACTACCAAATTAGGAACTTTACCTTTTATTTAATTGTAAGTAGGAACTTTTACCTCTTATAGTCTTACTGTACCACAAAATTCAAAAGAGTAAATCACAACTTTGACCGGTCATTCTAACTTAATTTGAGCAATTTCTAACCAATACCTATGGTTTTGGGTATATTTTCTCAAACAAAATCAAAGTTTACTAGTACTTCGTATTAAATCTTGATCTATATGAAATTAAGTGCAATATTTGACTTCTATGGTCAAATTTTTTGATCTTGACCTTTAATCAATATATATGAACAACCATAAATACTATTAAATGAGATATTTTTAGAGATATCAAATGTTAAAAGATATACGCACAATGTATAAAGTCAAATGTTACACATAATATAGGATATAAGATCGAGCTAAGGCCTTAAGGTTATTTCTTCTGTCTTTTGAATTTTTTATTTTGTTCATCACTTTAGCTAGCTGTTGTTGCACCACAAAACTGTTTGGGAAGCCAGATGTTTCCTCAGTATTAATCTTAGATTAAAGAATGTGCTAGAACATTGCCACCTTTACTCATCATTATTAACAAATTGATTCACTTTCCTTTACATTTGTGATGACTAATCGGAGACTTTAAGATTAATATGAATTAATTTATTCCTATTTACCCTTTTTCTTAAACTACAATTGTTTCTCATTATTAATAGTTCAAATTTATTAAAGAAACAGTCGTTTAATCTATTGGTTTATCATGTAATAAGAAACTGATGTGCTCCTTTTGACTGTCATTTTAAGTACTATAAACTGTGTAAAGTGAGAATCATATAAAGTTTATAGCATAAACATTATGCTAATCACTATTCGAGATTATGTTGAAGGTGGTTAATCATAATCTAATGGTTATTAAGAAGATTACCATGAATCTAGCCGTAAAGTTACTTAGAATACGGAAAACAAATTGTATGATCAACCCGAAAGTTCCTGCTAGGCCAGATCCATGCAGGCTATGCTGGTTGGGGTTGCAGGACTGATGGTCCGAGATCTGTCCAAGCCAGGTAGCCTCAGGCTAACCCAACTTCAACTCATGATGCACTGAAATCACACCTAGGACCATAACTAAGGATTGAATATGCAGCAGAATGAAGTCTAATCTCATCAGACACTTTATATGAAAAGAATATGTTAAAAATTGTTTACTGGATTACAAGATATAAAGTCTGCAAAATTTTATAAATTTTCCTATAATTTCCAGTGAGAACTATCTTCAAGATTGTTCATATTTACAGTCCTCAATATCAATAGCAATAGTCCTATATTTTGCCAGCTAAAGCTACTGTAACTAGAAATCTAGACTAGATGGATTATCAACCTGGGAAGTTACTGTATCTCTGCTGTAGCTGCCTGCCGCTGCCCTCCGATGATGGTTCCTACTATCTCTCCTTGGATTGCTTTTGAAATGTTACCTTCTTTGTTTAGATTGAATACAACAACTGCATCACACAATAGAAGTCTGTAAGATCTATGAAACTCAAGTTTTCATCCTAGTGATTTTTTTGAAGTTATTAATCATCGGATGATACCTGGGATATTATTCTCTTGGCACAATGTAATAGCAGTCAAGTCCATCACAGAGAGTTCCTTTGATATTACATCTTGATAGCTTAAGGTATCAAGCAGCCGGGCATCTGAGTTTTGCCGAGGATCTTTATCATACACTCCGTCCACATTTGTTGCTTTCAGAACAACTTCGGCATTAACTGTAACAAATACGAGAAGAAATATCAATATAGAGAGGAGACAACTTGGTTCATGAGCAACAACATTATTAATAAGATTCTGAAAAGTATAAAGTTGGAGCACAAGGACGATATAGAAGAAAGTTTCAACGGATGACATTCCAAAGAAAATGAAAGTGATCAATACACCCTAGTAGCTTAAGGAGCATTAGCATGAAGATCCTATTTTAATAAATATATACTTGTGTATACTATATACAAAAATCACAACTATTTCTAGTGCTTCGGATTAGCTTCCATCTAGGATGCAATCAGTATGGCTGAATGGGTCAAGCTCTATACAGCACTTGTTCATCCAAAGGATGCAACCATGGGTCAATTTACAAAGCATGATTGCAGGAGGATTTTATTAAATAATTGCAAATCACAATAGAATAAAAGTCACATCAACTATAGGAATGAAAGATGTGAAACGGCAATTTATGCGGTAGAAGCTTTTGGTAATCAAGACACTTAATAAGTTAAAATGTGGAGTACTAAATTTTAACAATATATAGGATGCTTAAGCTTTTGGTAATCAAGACAATTTGTTCACTGATGATGAAGTATTACGCACAACAAACACGTACGGAGAAAAACTTACTTTCTGCACATCGAAGAGCAGCAGCAGTATCTGTGGTGAAAAATGGATTTCCAGTTCCTGCTGCAAATATTACAACCCTCCCTTTCTCCAAATGTCTGACTGCTCTTCTACGTATGTAGGGCTCGGCAACCTCAGACATGCGAAATGCAGTCTGGACACGTGTTGGAATACCAATACTCTCCATTGTTGCTTGTAAAAATATAGCATTCATCACAGTGGCCAGCATTCTGAAAAGACAGTCCAAAAAAAGCTGTCAAATGAAAGGACAACAGCATAGTAAAACAGGAAAAAACCAATTTTTTCAGACGGAGTAAATTCTAAGTTGTATATTTTTAGGAGGGGGGGTAAGGGAATACATAATTATATCAAGAAGACATCATGGTACTGACATGCTGATACGCACAACTGAAAATACTTAGTAAGACAGGCAGAAAACATACTGTACCGCATAAAGAAAGAACAGAGAATAGAGTGAAAATTTCCAATTTGCAAAAATATTCCAGAAGCTAAAATGTATATTTCTTTTCATCCTTAGGCAGTTTCAAGAGAATACAATTATGACAGAGAAAAAAAAAAAAAAAAGGCATACCCTATATAATCAGCAGATGAACGGTCAAGGCCACTACAACCTGCCCAAGTAGATCCTCGAAAAATGTTTCCACCACCAACAACAATTGCAACCTGAGTGATGTACAACATATATCAGAAGATAATAGCTGAAGGCCTAGAAGCAGATGGTCATTGGAGTCCAAAGGTTAGCCAATGTGACTAGAGCGGTAGAACCTCACAGATCACAATTAAAGAGATGATATATAGTTTCCACTATCTGATTGATTCTGTGATAAAGATAGATGAATGCAATAGCTTCTCTCTTCTCTATGAGCACTAATGTCTAACGCCTCTAAGTGAAGCTTTCATTCACTAATTTCCTTCCATCTAAAATATACATTTTCTCCTTTCCTAGCAACAACAGTTAATAATGAGTGAATAACCTAATCCAGAGATGAGCATAAACAGGGTATTCAGCTTGATCAATTTCTACCATACTGTGTACTCTATGTCATATGATATAGAAATGTTTAATATATACTAATTTCACATTCATAAATTTTGTAGTAATTTTTGAAAAAATTCCCAAGGCTTCTAAGGCTTCAACACCAGACTACAACATTAAAACCAAAGCAATATTCCCAAAAGGATGTAATTGGTTGCATGAACCAAGAATCTATCTCCTTCAATACCAAACTGCTATCTAAATAAATTATAGTATTATACTACCAAATGGAAGAATTATATGTTTGGATATTAGTCAAAGAAATTACCTCAATGCCAAGTCTTGTCACTGAAGCAACCTCCCTTGCTATGGCCATTGTTACCTATATTTGAACAACAGTCATCTGATATATAAATATTTCAAAAAAAAAAAAAAAAAAAAAAAAAACGAATGTGACAAGATTTGTTGGCAGTTCATCTACCTTGGGATCTATGTTCTGAGCATTATCTCCTGCAAGAGCTTCTCCACTAACTTTAAGCAGTACTCTTTGCCATTTATATGACTGTTTGCATGCATTTTCATTTGATGACAATCCAAAAGATGGCATATGAACTTGCCTGTCAAATTTCATATGGTAAAAAAATATATATATTTCAAATCCACAAAAAGGAGACTATCCTTAATATAATCAACAAAACATTGTGATATTAATAACAATTACAGATTGATTAACCATTACCATCTTGGAACTACAATAGCACATAAACCCACATTTAAAACTAGGCTATTGGGGAGTATGAAGCACAGTTCTCTAAAGAGATTAATGAACAGAAGAACAGGCCTTGAATATCCCTGAATAGGCTCACATCATCAATACTTGCTCAATCAGACTAGTATCACTTTTCATGGCTAAGGTTCTATGAATAAGTTATACTTTTATTCTAAATGATCAACCTTTAGGGGCATAATTACCCACCACATTATTGCCAAAGGCCTACCCTTCATATATACAAGTAATAGCATAAACCACCCACCAGTCACCTGAAAAGCTCTTTAGTTCCCAAGGCAAATCTCAGAATTAATATACTAAAGCATGCATGAATGTAGTTTTTCCGGAGAAAAAGCAGAAAAAAAATTCAAAGGTGGGTATATAACAGAACCACTTCAAATAGGCTGCAATTGAATCTTTTTTTTTTTTTTTTTCCTGTCACACCTTACGTGTTCAAACTTACTTAATAATGCCACACAGTAAATAGCCGAGACATCAATTGGCAGATGTCAATATGAACAAAACATTAAGGAAACTACATTCACATAAACTAAGTTGGGAAATTTAACAAAAGAAATCAGCTGATCAATTCCAAAAACGCTTTTTTGACATACACATCATGTTTAGAGGGTAAGCCACTAGAAGCCTAGAAGTGTACAACTACCTAAATTTCAAATTAGAATGCCAACAATATACACCTAATAGTTATTATCTCCAAAGAAATTCACCCTTACAATCCAGCCTGGGCCAATTACACTATACAAATATTCTGAAGTGGACGACTGTGCAGTATTTACATCCTTCGTCTTTTAAAGCATTAAGGATTATTCCAACTCATTTGTAACATATTGTCATTTGTAACAACCTATGTTATTCCAACTCTTCATTTCACCTCAAGTGCCGATGTCAGATACTTGACACTCAGACATGGGATATGGCAATTCGACACTTCATTTTAGACCAAAACCGTTCAATGTTTTCATAAAGCTGTGCCTAATACCCGGACACATACCAGCATTTGACACTTTGATCCAAGTAGTGAGTCTAACATAGGGCACAACTCACAAGTTCACAACACAAAAACAACTTGCTAAACTCAAAACTTCTTCACATTGCACAAGTAAATGATTAGTCAAAATATCTTCAAAACCGACCAACAATCTTATCCCCCTCACATGAAACTCAATATAGAAAGAAAATTTGTCATAATTTAAGGCCTTATAATATAGTGGCTAAACTAATTAATAATTTTGATATTCTTAAACCCCATTAAAACCCCAGTACAGATTATCAATAATTAAGTTTAATAATATTGTCATTTCAATCAATAAATTAGCAACATTATAACAAAACAACGACAAAAACAAGAGCAAATACCAAATTTGGGGGATAATTATACCTTAAATTAGAATAATCGGAAGAAGAGGAGGAACCCACATCAGAAGAAGCACAATTAACCACAATTTTGAGATGGGAATTCCGGGAATTGACCACTAAACTTTTCCAGGGTTTATAGAAGAGATTTGAAGGCAAACATTGTGACGGTGAGGATAGAGAAAGCATAGTGTTAACTAAAGAACAGGGTGAAAAACAAGCAGAAATCGCCATTATCTTCTACTGTGTTTACAAAGTTTTAATCTTTTTGTGATAAAAAAATGGGAAAAGTATACACTTCTTAGCTTCAGATTTTTGAGGCCTTCAGGGTCATTACTCACTGCAATTGGGAGTATAATGTAAATCTACCGCTTTGCTCAAATTGGGCCTAGGTATTTTATTTTTCCTTTTTTCCATTTTCTGATGATAAGAAAATACAAATCTAATATATATATATATATATATATATATAAAGGAGTTTTTTCCCGAGATTTTAGAGTGCTATGTAGGATTTTTATTTTTAAAAAATTATTAGAGCGCCACATATGATTAATATTTTAAAACGCTGCAATAGGATTATGCCACCTAAAATTAGTTAACGTGCCACGTAAGATTATAAATTATAGTTATATCCAATAAATAATTCAAGTGTCACATAAGCATAATTGACCAATGAGATTTTATATAAAGGGGAGTTTTTTCCCGAGATTTTAGAGTGCCATGTAGGATTTTTATTTTTAAAAAATCATTAGAGCGCTACATATGATTAATAATTTTAAAACGCTGCAATAGGATTATGCCACCTAAAATTAGTTAATGTGCCACGTAAGATTATAAATTATAGTTATATCCAATAAATAATTCAAGTGCCACATAAGCATAATTGACCAATGAGATTTTAATGGTTACATTAATTAAATACGCAATATTATCTTTTGAGATTAGGAATTTTATCTAATATTTTAAAACAAATATGGAGAAAATGATATATTACGTACAACTAATAAAATAACAAATGTAATCACATAAATATAAAAAATATTTTTTAGAAAAAAATAGATCGACCAGTGCATCGCACGGGCTTCATCTAGTTACGTATAATATTAGCGGTTTTAAGCTGAATCAAAAATCCATTTTGCTATAAACGGTATTGAGAGAATTTCTTTTTAAGAATTTGTTATATACACATGAGTGCACTGTACACCCAACTAACATAAGGTTAGCTGTTGCATCTTATTTGATGATTAAATGAAAAACAATAATAAAAATGAGAAGAAAAAAAAAATTCATGTGTGTATGGTACACCAAGGTTTATATAACAACCACTCTTTGTTTTTAAACCTACATATGCAATTATGCATAAGGGAAATATAATTTATTTCAACAATATTGAGAGAATTTGCTCAATTTTTATTTTTATTTTTTTGGTTTCAATTCCTTTTAACTATTGTGTTTCAAAAAAAATTCCTTTTAACTATTGTAGGAAATAGCTTAGAAATCGGATTTCTAACTTGGTAAGTTGGAAACAAGAATGATGTTAAATTATTCTTAGAGAGAAACAAAAATTATTAATTACATGACATTTTCGTAAATAAACTAATAACTTTATCCAATCACCATCAATTGTGGAGCTCACAATAATGAAAAAATTGTTAATTAATTTACGAAAATGCCAAGTGAGAAATAGTTTTTGTTTCTCGTTGTGAAAAACTTGTATTTACCCAGTAAAAAGCTTCATTTTTAGAGGACATATAATCCGTACGTAGAGTGTAAAATCACTAGGAACATGGTTAGACCATATTTGTTCTACATCAAGGGGGATAACACGAGCTAAATGATGCGCTACATAATTGTCTTCCTAATTAGGAAAAATAGGAACACGCATGGAGAGCATCTTTAAGCACGACATCCAACTCAGAGAAAAATATAGCTTTACACAACTAAGGAAAGAGGAATAGGGGTCCTTGCCTCCTCGCTATCATCAAAATTAATTGGGTGAATTTTAAAATCTATAGATGTAAACCGCATAAGAAAGAGATTGTGTGTGAAAATTGTAAATGTTAGATTTACAAAAATCACTACTAGTCTTGATTTTGCCCATTTCATTTGGACTATTCCACCAAGAGGGATTTTTTTTTTTTTTTTTTTTTTGGTTGGAAAATAACATTTCCATAAACAAGCTTTTAGAAGATTTATGGTTTTCACAATCATCACAAAGTACCCTTTACAGATACTTCATATCTAACTATCTAATCATATTAAAATTTCCAACAAATGATTTATTCACATACATTATGTAGGCATATTTTTAGAGTTAATAATTACATTACTATGGAGTACTCCTTAATAAAAATAAAATAAAAAAATTACAACACTAATTATACTAAGCAAGTGAAGAGAATAGGGCAGAACAAGGTTATACATACAAGGTTGGAACTATAAGTAAATAAACAAATATTAACCGAAGTAAACCCTGCATTAGCATCACATAATTTATGTTGGAGAAGAGAGAACAAAGACATGAATAGCACAAGTAACAATAACAGAATATTAGAATTTCACCTAAGTAGATATCAGATAAAAAGTTAAAAACAACGGCTTCCCTCATTATTCTTCGTGATTCAAAACATGTTCTGCTACTCTGCTAGGTAATTAGGCTAGATTATCCAACGTTTTCTGATGAATCCAACAGGAACAAAAGGATATTATCAGATTTTACGTAAAAAAAATACAAAGGATAAGTCAGGACGGCGATGACCAAAAGAAATCAGACTTGTCTTTCATTCATTGAATTGTTAGATGTCTCACTAAATGCACTCGTGTTGTGATGCAGGATTTGGATTTTTTAAGGTTACAATCAATCCATTTTGAGACCTATCACTCGATACACGGATGAATTTACCAACAAATTCAGTCTCAGTGGGTTTGATGTATCTTGTATTCCCACCATAGTTGGTTTCTTTTTTTGACTTCATTGTCATCGTCGTCGTCATCATCACCATCAGAAAATTCAGGTCTAGATGATATATAAAGCTGCTCTAAAACATTTGACTTACTAAGAAGGTATTTTAGCCACTTCAGTTCACCGGAATTCCCCGTCATTTTGGACATCAAAAGCCTCTTGAGCTTCCTAAACAGACACAATGGAATTGTATTTGGGACTTGAAAGTTGTTATCAATATCATTGACACTAGGCGTAGTCAATATAAGATGGGTTACATTACAGAATATAGACCCAACATCAACATCAACATCCAAGTAATCAAGAGCCTCGAAGAATCTTAGAGCATACTTAAGGCTAATAGACTCGACACCAGAAATCCTTTGAACAAATATATTCCTACTTTGGCCGAATATATCCCTACGTCTATGCATAAAATTCCAAACGCAAAGTTCTGCCTTAATCAATTTAGTTGGATACTTGACAAAGCTATAGTACCCAAGAAAACCATCTAGCACAAGGTATTCCAGCATAGGTGTATCAATCACAAATTCGACGCCTTCGGACACTATTCGATTAATAATCAACGACTTCAACTTGGGAGATGATATATTCACTACTCCAGAATTGCAAAAAAGTACTTCTAAAGACACAACTTCCAAAAGTGGGCAAGAATTAATAAATGCCCATATTTTTTTATAATCGTCCCAAGAAATGGCACCCAATTGATGCTTCTTCAGATTAGGAAGACTAACAATTCCATTTTTAATTGCAGGCAATTCCATTTGGCAGAGAATATGATGTACTATGTCTTTGAATTTGATGAATGTTTGATCTCGATTATGTGAGTTGATGGTGGAAGGTCGCCGTGAAAGCTTCCATGGTGGGTTATCGCCGTCGAAGAAGAGGTGGGGGAGTTCATTCCAGAGGTGGCGCCACCGATGGGATAAGACGGAGGTTGCGGCGGCGGATTTGAGTGGGAGATGAGAGAGAATTTCGATCAAAAGGGTATCTGGGAGTGAGGTTAATCTGTCTTCTTCACCATTGTTGGAATTCTCAGTGAGATTTTTGTTCTTTGATTGTAATCTTCTTCTCTTGTAGTAATACATGGGAGTTTTAGCCATTTTTCTGGGTTGATTTTTGTGGGTGAAACTGTGCAAAAGGTTTTAGCTTTCGGTTTTCCGGAGTAATCAATAGTCAGGGACAGGGTTAATAACCGTTCAAGTTTTAAGGTGTGGCCAAATCGATAAAACTGACTCAATAAATTGCCGATAATAACTTGATAACGAGTTAATGACCCGTAAATCCGTATAGCCTAACTGTCTAATACATTAACATGAATACAACAAAATTGGATCATACTCGTAACTTAATAATGAATCAACACATTCATTAACTGAAATGATCCAACCTTTTTGAGATTCAAATTCGAACATGTTATAAACCCAACTAAATCCGTTTACAACCCAAATCATGTCAATTGATACAATATACAACATTCGAACAAAAATTACCAAATTGAACAGATATAATAGTTTACATCACATACCCCAACAAGGCAACAATGAACATGTTTCAGCCCTAGTCGTTTCGACCTGCTACTTAATTAACCAAATGTATTTTAACTTAACTTGATTACGAGAGTAAAATCCAAACCACTGCAAAAAGTTAAGTTGTACCAATGACAACTTGCAAAAGCATAAAGTTAAGTTATCATTATCACACACATTCTAGAGGAATTCAAATTACTTGTACATTTGAGAGTAGTTTGTAGTCCTATTAAATTACTACCAGTATATAAGTACTCTATGAGTCAAGAGAACATGGCAGAGCAAGCTTAGTTTAGTTACTAGGCTAAGATTATTAGAGACAAACTAGAGAACAAGCTTATTTACAAAAGGAACAATGACGTGAACGACATAATAAAGTCAATAACAGATAAATGAACTGAGATTAAAAGTGCTAAACCATACATTATTCATGTCGGAGAAGATTGAACAAGGACATGAGTGGCATAATTAAGTTAATAACAGACCGAGAATTGGAATTACATCAAACTAGATGTCAGATTAAAACAATGGCTTCTAACATTCTTCTGCTGGAAAATTAGGCTACTCTATCCACCTTTTTCTGACGGATCAAACACATAATACCATATCTTACATAAATATTAACAGAACTGTTAGTCAAGATAGCTACTGATTTACTGAATGAAAGATTGGTTATTATCAACAGAGCTGGGTCTCAAAACGAAGCGAAATACCCATGCTAAACAGCTCTTGACACAACAGCTTGGCCCCATACGGCACACTTATCTTCACGATTTCATCAACAGATTCGCAGAACCTGCAGTAAGGCCCTCGGATCTTTTTGCCACCTGGAACTGTCCTTTGGATCACATTTGCAATGTTCTTGCACTTCCTGCAAACATGCATCTGGGACGAGTCACTTAGAGTGAAGAGTCGCTCATGCAGGTTGGCTGAAGCACCATGAGCGATCAGACAATCCCGTTCCATCTCCCCAAACTTGATACCCCCGAACCGTTTCCTGTCTGCCACTGGCTGCCTGGTCAGTGGATGGACAGGACCTGTATTTCGAAACTTGACTTTGTCTTCAGACATATGGATCAAACGCTGATAGAAAGTGGGCCCCATGAATATGAGGGTACGGATCATCTCTCCTGTTCTTCCATTATAGACCCTTTCATTCCCCCATCTTGAGAATCCAGCCCTGCAATCATTGTGATGGAAATCTACACAGTTACACACTGAAATTGCATGATCTTTCCTCAAAATAGATGCAAGTTGACAGTGTTCAAACCATTAGGGTCTTAAAGCTCCCGAGGCCCTTAAAGAGCAAAAAGTGTTTTTTTTTTGGGTTTTTTTTTTTTTTTTTTTTTTTTGGGGGGGGGGGGGGGTGTGATAAAACATAAGAATTTAATGAAGCATTTCTATTCTTCATTTATTCATATATAGAACATCATGTCATCACAATAACACTAACTAAATTATCATCTTCACATAATTTAAGTCTTAACTGTTGAGGGAGGGGAGTTGATTTTCTAGCAAAAATACAGTAATGCAGACAGAAAAACTGGAGGAAATCGAATATGAAAGTATATTCTCCGCATGAAAAACTGACCTGTGAAGCTGCTCTGTTATGGATTCAACAGAGAGAGTAGAGAATGGGGTGGCATATTTCAATGAGCCACCACATGCAATGCCCTTCCCAAGGGCAGCCTCCAGTAGTTGGCCAGGAGTTTGTCTAGAAGGAAATGCATGAGGATTGATTACTATATCAGGCACTATCCCCTGTTTTGTGAAAGGAAAATTCTCCTGTGACTCAAGATATCCAAGAACACCCTTTTGACCATGCATGGATGAAAACTTGTCACCAAGACAAGGTGAACGGACCTGCATGAATGGACAACATGAAAGTGACTTATAAATCACTAACAGAAGTGGATTTAATGATGAAATTTAACCCAGACCATACATGATACATTAGAACCCATCACATAATAGGTTTTACACACTATTTATGATGGAATATCAACCGGAGCATACATTTTGTCACATCACAAAAAGCTTTTTTATGAATAATTATCAGCCAGATCATACATATCACACAAACACATTATTTCTTTCTAAAAAAAATAAAATAAAAACACATCATTACCTGTCTAAGTGAAACAACTGCAAAATTCTTCCCATCATCATTTGCTGACAGGACAACTTTCTGCACCATGCCCCTTTCTGTATGCTTTAGCTTGACACTATGATCAGCCCCAGATTCCGCACATCTGCCGATGATAATATCTCCACTCTGCAAGTTTGCTCCAATGTATGGAAATCCATCATCATCAAGGTTGTCAACCCGTCCTATTTTGCTCTGTATCTTCCCAAAACTAACAGTATCGTCGAACTTCCTCCTCTTTTCTGATGATTCCTGGTTGTCAACTTCAGCCTTGTAACTCCTGGTGTGCTCAGTCCTAAACATGCCTCGTTCCAGGGAAGCCCGATTCATGACCAAAGAATCTTCTTGGTTATAACCAAGATGGACATTTACAGCCACAATGCCATTTTGACCATTAAAAAATTCTGCCTTTGGAAGTATCTGGTTGCGGCCTAATGGATATCCTGGCTTTCCAAGACAATCAGAAATCACTGAACGGAAGAGAGGTCTTTGAGGATAGTACATTTGGTGGGACAAGGTATCTACTCTAATATTGGGGTTAGTGCTGGAATATCCTATGGCTTGTCCAGAATGCTTCTCAGATTGGTAAAGAACCCTCCTAGCATGATCATGATTTGCAAAGGGGATAATACCACAACTGACTCCCAACAAAAATGACATGTCAAGCTCACAATGAGTGTATTTGACAGGGTCTTTTCCCTTGTCTTCAAAAAGGAACTTAATTCCCCATGCAGTGCGACAATCTTCTTCCTCTTCAGTCCCAATCAATTCTATTATTCCTTTTTGTAGAAGGGTGTCAAAAGAAAACTCATCCCCTTTCAATAACTTTGTCTTTTTTAAATTTTCAACTACTAAAAGAGGTCGAAGGATTCTTCCAGCATCACAGAATATTCGCACTTCAGAATTTTGAGCATCCCGTTTGATTTCAACCTAAAAGTGCCAACGAGGCAAAAAAAAAATGTTATTTTTAATGAGCCAGAAGCATCGTATACACAGTAGCTTATACTAAACAAACACACAAATGTGGATAAGATAGTGAAAGCCCACAGTCTAACGAGGGGCTCAGACTACAGATATAATGAGAACACAATGAATCCAAAAAATAAAAGGATATCATAGCATAAACAAATTTGAGGGACAGACTAAGGGTCTAAAAGGAGATCCATAGTTTTTAGCAGCATACAAAAAAAGATGTTACAAACCAAGCACCATAAATGTGGGATCATGAATCAATGTAATGAAAAGATTACTGGAAAAAAGAGCACACACACACGATAGTAACTAGCAGCTATCAGGAACCAAGAATAATAATTCTAAAATGTGATAGATTCAGCTTTACAATCCAGAACAAATGTAGAAAAATGAAATAGTACCTGGCTTGAAATACGGTTCTTACGACGCTTTCTTCTCAACTCCTGAACAAAGGAGAGGGAATCGGCACATACTCCTTCCCACTCGCCATCCACAAAAACCTTGTCCTTTCCACTTGGTGAAGTACAAGTGTCACTCACTAATTTTTCCATCCCACACCTCACCAAATTATCAGACAGGTCCTTCTTACTAATACTGCAACTGACAAGTCCAGTAGCAGCTATGTTCTTCACAAGACCACAGTTCTCCCCATCCGGTGTAGACAAGAAGCAAATTTTTCCCCAGTGAGAAGGGTGTCTGAAATCATACATGCAAATATAATTAGGATACCCAATGTAACTTAGGCTATATTATCTTCACCTTATTTAATTTGTTCTGATTCGAATTCTCTAAGGTCACCTGAATCTTTCTGGTCTGGCCTGAATTGTTATCTTTATAATTTTGTATGATCTAGTGTCAATTTTCAGGTCTGGTCTTAATTTTTCAGATCTGGTCTAGTCTAGTATGTTGCGATTTTAACAAGGATAAATAATTAGAATAAGGAGAAGAGAACAAAGCCTTGATGGTTGTGGACAATAAAAGAAAATGATTGACCCATCATATCATCTCAAGGATGTGGCATGTGGGGGTTAGTGGGTCATGTGTATGATCTTCAAACACCTACTGGCTACTATTTGAGCATTATCCACTTTTGTTTCTTCTTTCATTCTCAATGAGTGCAACTGTTTGCATTTCTAAGCATCTTTTATTGAGCCTAATTTTCTACTTATGACACTAGTTAGGGATTTTTGGCAAGGCTGTAAATCACTAAGGAGAAATCCTTAGCATTATTCCCCACTTCTTTTTAATACTGTGTTCCTTATTCATTTGAGTTCGACCATTTCTTTTACTTTCATTCGTTGATTTGAAGTCATTTCAGTCTTAGGTCACATTTACAATTAGAACAATGTTCAAACATAACTTAATAAGGTTATATAAAATAAACTTTATATACTTATATACATGTCAATTGAAAACCCTTTGCGTCCCAATCAAAATGTTGTGACCTTGTTATTGT